TGGGTGGGAGGGAATAGGGGTATTAGGCGGTGGGGGAAGCCACCCCACATCAGTTCCATACTTACACAATACACCTCACACTGTCACAGCACTGCACAAGACATCCTGGGTTTTGGGAAGGAGGGAATAGGGGGTGGCTTCCGCCACCCCACATCAGCTCCACAATTACACAATACACCTCACACTGTCACAGCACTCCACAAGACTGCACCCCGGTCAATAGGAAGAAGGACGGTCACTCGGGTTTAGGGGTTTATCTTAACTCAGTCTGATACTGCTACAACCACATGTCCATTCACGCTGCACCCGCTTTCCAGCAGGTGCTGCTCCCCACCAATAGATGGAGCCTCCCCGATAGTGCTAGTGGTGCCTGCTCATACCAGCATCCCTAGCATCTGTTTGGGTTGTTTCCCAAACAAAAAAAAACAAAAACAGAAAAAGAAAAGAAAAGAAAAGAAAAGAAAAGAAAAGGAAAGAAAAGAAATAGCCACTTTGTGCAAGGCCTCTATCCCGACCGTGGTGAGAGAAGCACCAGGATTGAGGCCTTGATTATGAGGCTGCTCCATCTATTGGTGGGGAGCTACCGCTGCTGGAAACCGGGTCCAGCGTCCCTTTGATACAACCGTCCAAAGCCTTATACAAGCGCACATTTAGCAGTTTCACGGGGCCGCAGCCTTCCTAAATCCCTTCTCCCTTTGGTACTCCCTCTTACCCATAGGGCTGCTACTGTCATCCCACCATATGAGAAGCACCATTTTGTAAAGCTGGCCAAGTCTTATTGGCAGCCCTGAGCCCACCCTTTAACCCACTTGCCTCTACCTTCTTCCCCTGAATACAACGGACGGTTATTATAGCTGTATCTAGACTGACAGATGCCTCAAATACAGCTATAATGAATGTACGTTGTATTCAGGGGAAGAAGGTAGCCGGAGGCTGTGTTTAACTACCGTTATTTATCCGGCTGGGATCGCTCTGTCGGTTTTTTTTTTTTTTTTTTTTTCAAGAAACAATTTTTTCACTTGCCATGCATCGGCCAGGGATTGTGGCGAGTAGTTCTTTTTTTTTTCTTTTTTTTTTTCAAGAAACAATTTTTTCACTTGCCACGCATCAGCCAGGGATTGTGGCGAGTAGTTCTGGACCTACTGTCTTCACCCGAATAGAACGCCCGGTCATTATCGCTGTATGTACACTGAAAATTGCACCAAATACGGCTATAATGACCGGGCATTCTATTCAGGTGAAGACGGTAGGCCTTAAAAGAGGCCAGTACCGACTGGGGGAAAATCGGGTGCCAGCTAGGACAGGCCACCAGTTCATGCCAACTTGGTCCAAACGGCGGACTGTGATACAGTCATCTGTAACTTCCACACAGACGTATGGTTTCTCTATGGGTTTTTTCTTTTTTGTTAATAATTTCTTTTTGTCATTTTTGGTGTTTAATCTCATTTCTTTTCTCCTCATGTTCTTTCAGATTTTTTCAGACCTTTTCTGAATTTTATTCTGAATTTTAGCCTATCTCGTGGGGTTCTTCATCGAATAGGCTAGTAATCTAGGCTACCAGCCGGGCCGCCCGGTTCCCGGTGGCCAGCCCGTGCAAGGACCAGGGAAGGTCCCAGCAAAAAAAAAAAAAAACCAAAAAAATCCGGAAAAAAACTAAAAAAAAAAACCAAAAAAATCCGGAAAAAAACTATGTTATGCAGAAAAATAAACTGAACAACTTTTGCCTCAGGGTCACATCGAAATTCTGCACCAAATTCAGAAAAAGAAATAAATTATAAAAATATTTTTATTTTTATTTTTTTTAATTGTTTTTGGCCCGGCCGGGCAAGTGACCCCGGGCCACTCTGGTAGCCTAGCTAGTAATTGATCATGATCCTATTTTTAGACAAAACCGGGTAAGAGTCCCTGTATCTCATTTTTTTTTCTGTATATGTTCTCAAACATGTTTCTTGTTTCAAATGGGACGCTGGGCCTGGTTCCCAGCATGTGCGGCTCCCCATGAATAGATTGGAGAACTTYCCCCCCCCCCCCCCCCAAAAAAAAAAAAAAAAAAAAAAAGTTTGTTTCCGCATTGCCCAATTGTGTGAACCAACTGTTCCTAACTGTTCCTCTCGTACTGGGTTGGACTACCATTGCAACGACGGCCATCAGTAGGGTAAAACTAATTTGCAAAATACCCCCATAACCTAAAAGATATGAATAGAGCGGAATGCCCGTCTGACCACAAAAAAAACTTTTGTGAAATACTCCTGGCATCCGTTGGAACCCCCATCTTTGGAATATGCCACTGTCCACCTTTGCAAAATGCCCTGGTACGTGCCAACTTTTCCAAGGCCTGATTGCAGAAGGCCAAGGCCCAAACGGCGAGGTCCAGATTGCAAATTTGCGCACTGGCCTGACAGGGGCATGACACAGATTCCGGCCCAAAAGGGCATTCCACTTCAAACCACCACCAGTACCTACCACGTTTTTTTAGGCGGTGGATGAATTGGCCTACCGCGGGGGTCTATATTCGTTTGCGTCAGAAGGGGCCTAAGAACCTGGTAGGTACTGGTGGTTTAACCCACATCTTTCAGGGGTACTTTGGCACATATTTCAACTTATGGGGGTATTTTGCAAATTATCCCTTGCTTTTTCTGTTTTTTTGGGGGGAAAGTTGTCCTTTCCCGTTTGCAAATCAATTATACGGCTTGTATACAGCTGCAACTTCCGGGAAGTACCAGGGCAGTGTTTCGCTGGATATCTATCCAGGCAAAACGGGCCTCGCATGTGACCCGTTTAGATCGGATGAATATCCAGCGAAACGGCGCCCCAGTACTTCCCAAGAGTAGTGGCTGTATATGCGCCGCGCGTCTGCAAAAATAGCTGGGAAACATAGTGGTATTTTAAAGGGTGGGGTGCCCAAGGCTACAATTGAGAGAATGGAGACTGCTGAGTCTCCAGCTTGTCACTGCAAGCAGAGCTCAGTCTCCACAGTTCATGATGAGAAATCATCCTCAAGGCTCAAACTGACTGCCTCAGGGGGTCAGGTCGCGCGTACAACGATTCTTCATTCCTGGCCATCCATCTTCACTAATCTACAGCCAAAAATGAAGAATCCGGGCAAGCCAGCCCTAGCCCCACATAAGTTACAGAGTTTTGGGGAAACTGCTCCTGAGTCACCTTTTTAGTTTGAAATAGGCAAGAAAAAGACAAAGTGGCACGGATGTCATCGTTTGAGCTTCAGAATCATGTGGCATGTGCAAGTTTAGCGGGGGGTTGAAATGGTGGCCGTTATTTTGAAGTGGCGGGAATGCAGATTTAGCAGCGGCTTTTTTTGCCCTGTTTCGAAAACTGCTTAAGTTGCCTACCTATTCCAAACGCTACCTAGGTGTGACCCAGGAGCCTTTGCCGCCAGAGTCTTTTTCACTCAAGTGGGACCTACCAGCCCCAGATAAGGGGCCTCGCTGCACTAGTCTCCAGATGCACAAAAGACAAAAACGATGCCAATGTATCTTTCCATGTTCTTGCGGAGTATTCAGTCTCATTTTGCACATTTGGAGAGTAGTGCAGCCATGCAGCCAGGCCCAAGTTCGGAGTTTTTTCCATTCATCTGATTACACTGGCATTCGATCTCCAATCTCTATTCCAACAGTATGTGGGCGTACCAACTGAACTACGTATCTTTTCGTTCACTTCATTTGGAACGCTTTTTCACTTAGGCCCGTCCCGTCCAGCTGTCTCGTCCATCGTTTTGGGGGGGTGTAAGAATTAGCGATTAGTGCTGGCCCTGCTGGGCAAGGCAGCTCATCGGAAGAAGTCCGATCGCATTCCTCATTGGACGTCGACATCTGGCGAAGTGGCTGCATGTCGCACTTGGATAACGTCGCACACTTGGCATTGACTGTTCGCCTGCCAGAAGCATGATGCATTGCCCTTGTCCCCGTAGCCGTATTGTCGCTAAGCTCCACACAACTGGAGCTTATCATCACACAGGGCCCCCACCTCTCCCCCCCCACTGCGTGGCAGCGAGTGCATCGTGGGGAAAAGTTTCATCTTCCACGCGTTGCACATTCGCTGCCCTTCAAATGGTAAGTGCGGGAGGATATGGTGGTAGGGGATGGGAAGGGAGGAAGTCTGAGTGATGTCAGTTAGAGGGGAAGGCAAAGGGGAAGTTGTGTTATTATATACTGTCTTTCACCTTGCATTGTAGGCTTTGTAGGCCCTATGCGCAATTGTCAGAGGGCGGGTGGAGGGGGTGGATACGGTGTCTGTGGGTATGCCTATGTTAGCAGAAGGTCACTCCAGGTCTGTCCTTATGATGATGTATATATGCATGTGTTTGTGCCTGTATGCATTGGCATACAGCCGCATACTAATGACAACATTTGCACCCCAGTGCGAGGCCCCAATCTCGGCAGGATAGCGGTCCCAACGTATTTGGGGCTTTCTCACAGAAGGGACGAGAGAGGGCACAACAACAACAACAACAACAACAACAACAACAACAACAACAACACGAAGAAGACGAAGAAGAAGAAGAAGAAGAAGAAGAAGAAGAAGAAGAAGAAGAACAACAACAACAACAACAACAACAACAACAACGACAACGACAAGAAGAAGAAGAAGAAAGGTGGTCAGGCGTGAAAGATTGTGTTTTTATCTGACCTGAAATAAGAATAGAATTGTCAGAGTCGCTCCCCAGAAATGAAGCAAGATGTCTCCATTGATTGATGTAGAGAGTCAAAGAAGCTTCTCCAGAGGCCATTCAAGCACCAATATACAAGCATCAACATGTGACACACGAATGTACTTCTTACGGAATGGATTAACACAAATTAACAGTTTTAGGAGTGTACCTGTCAGGCAGGGTGCAGGTATGGGCCCTCTTAGCATGAGGAGGCGTCCAATCGATTTTAATTGATATTTTTTTAGGTTTTAATAGACCAGACTGTCGTAACGGGGATCTGTACTACAGACTTACCCGAGATTCTGTGCCCATTTTGCTGGGGGAATGTTGATTCTGCTGAGACAGAGAGGCTGCATTTTGGCCCGCAGTGAGGGCTTCGGGGGTTTTCAACTTTGTGGGCCAAGATTCCAGCCCCTTAGTACCCCTGGTGACAGGAACAAACCCCAAGCAGTCGCTTGGGCAGTTTTCAAAAAAAAAAAAAAAAAGAAGAAGAAGAAAGAAAGGGGTAGAAGAGTCTGCTGCAAGAAGCGGGTGTATGGGGAGGGCTTCAACTCTCCATCGCAATATGCGGACCCAAAATAGGACACTGAGGCAGGGGCCAGTCATTGGTTACCAGATTTCAGATGTCCATCGGTCGGATTGCTTACTAACAAGGGAAGGATTTTTTTATTTCTAGGACTCTCCGTCGCAGTTAATCCCCTCGAGAGAGGGCAATCAATGCTGTTTCCCTTCACCTTGGGCTCTTTTTATGCGAAAGGGAAGTCTGTTTTTTTTTTTGTGGGGGGGGGGGAGCAGCAAGTGCTGGGAACCGGGCCCAGCGTCCCATATGGAAATTTACATAGAATTTTGAAAGTTTGAGATACCAGGGCCATTACCCGGCTTTGGCTGAGAAAATTTTGAACGACTTAGAAAATTACTACGACAAACTTCAGAAAAAAGGTCTGGCCACGACAAAACACGCCACCACAGAGGTCCTACAAATACTCGAAACCCTGTGGATCCCTACCAACCCTTCTAAAGCTCTCCAGCACTTTCTTACTCCCTGCCGGGCTCTTCCAGGCCTCACACCCCCACCCTGCTGGGTTACAGGGAAACACGACTCACCCCAGCTCCGGCCAGCGTCGTCCCAGCAGCAACCCTTGGTTGTCCCTTGGAATGCCCACCCCAAAGCATCCCCAGATCTCTCTAAGCTGGACCCGTTTTCCAGCAGATGCAGCTCCACACCAATAAATCGGAGAGAGAGAAAAAAAAAAACGAAAAAAAAAAAAACAAGCCCCTTAACGGTATATGCAGCCCCTTTGTGAACATTGTGGGCCGAGTTTTGTAGCCCCTTAGGCCGCATAGGGGCTGCATTTTGACCCACAGTGAGGGGTTTCCAACACATTGGGGGCCAAAATCCAGCCACTTACGGTACTTGTGGGCCAAAATCTAGCTGTTTACGGTATATGCCGCCCCTTTTTGTACACTGTGGGCCAAATTGCAGCCTCTTAGGTTACCAAGGGGCTGCATTTCGGCCCACAGTGAGGGGGGTTTGGCACATTGTGAGCCAAAATCCAGCCCTTACAGTACATGCAGCCCTGTGACGAACTGTTTTCTGCAACCGCACGATTTTCTGCGCAAGGCTACTTCGGGGATTGAATCGGGAGGGCCCACTGGATTACATGGGTGCCGTTGCTTTTCTTGTTTTTCGGAATCGAGGCCGATTGGTAGCTGATTGCACCTTAGCGAGCGCGAAAGATAAATGTTTTTCAACTGATGTCGAGCCCCCGTGGGCTCACGGAATTTGCTTCGTTCAAAATTTATTTTCGCAATTAGGATTTAGATTAGGAATTTAGGCGCATCTCAATTTTTGCTGCACGGCGCTTCTTGCTTGCGCACGCTTTGCTGCGTCAGGATCTGTGTTCTGACTTTTCCGCACCTCAATCCTTGTGTGTAACTGTAACTTTTGTTTTGGCGGGCATAATTGCAACTGTAATCCTCTCGTTCTTGATATCTTTTGTGGCGTCCCTGTACGCACGTACTTCTTCCTCCGTCCTATTGGCTTGAACGCTTGCATGACCGGATCGATGTGTGGAGTGAGGCTACTCACTTCGCAGATGCTCCATGGTGGGGAGCAGTATACAACCATACGTATAGCCCATGACCACACATCTACGATACAGAGTACATACACACATACACAACTATAGGTTTGGCACATACACAACCATAGGGTTGGGAGGAGGTTACAATCAACTGATAATGATGATAAGCGTCCCGATGATAAGTACCCTGTGTTGGGAGAGTAGAGGGCGTGAGTCACTGGTTGGTCTGCAGGGTTCTAACTGGTGATGATGATAGGCGTCTCGATGATAAGTACCCCGCATTAAATATACAGCTAGGTCTGTGGTGGGAGAGTAGAGGGCGTGAGTTACTGGTTGGTCAACTTAGGGGGCACACACATACACACACACACACACACACACACACACACACACAGACAAATGGGCTGGGTGGAGGTCACGATTAACTGATAATGATGATAGGCGTCTCGATCATAAGTACCCCGCCTTAAATATACAGCCAGGGTCTGTGGTGGGAGAGTAGAGGGCGTGAGTCACTGGTTGGCTTGGTCAGCTGCAACTGGTGATGATGATAGGTGTCCCGATGATAAGTACCCCGCATTAAATATACAGCTAGGTCTGTGGAGGGAGAGTAGAGGGCGTGAGTTACTAGTTGGTCAATTTAAGGGCCAATAGGTGATTGCTTGAGCCTGGCGTCCGAAGTACCCGTACGACGAGGCTAGTTCGACTATGCTTCAACCAGGGCTGGGTCGTTGGCCCTGGTGCCTGTCACTACTGTTCGGTCCAAGTTCCCCTCGATACGTAGGGTGATGGTCCTGAGTGCTGGTCACACAGAGGTAGGATAGTAGGGATAGGGGATGCGCTAGGAGTACTGACGTGAGGATGGGATGGGGGGTGGCCCCGCCTCCTCAGAGCGACCATGGCTGACCGTTTCCGGCGATCAATGTGTGCCTAGTAACTGGCCTCTACAACACCCTAGACTTCTATTAAAAAATAATAATAATAATAATAATAATAATAATACTTAAAAAAATGACCAGCCCAGGAATTCGCAGACCCTTTCCCCCCTCACCCGTTGTCCCTGGAGGAAACGCTACCTGAGTCACTGTCCCCGGACGCTACCTGAGGACCTAAGCGCTGCTTGGCTCATCCGTCTGGTGCCATCTACAGTGAAGCCGAGCATCTCCCAGAAAATCTGAAGAGCTTCTGAAAAACGAGGAACAACAGAATGCTGGGCTCAGCCCCCAGCACATATTCGAGGAGAGCACAGCGAGAGATTGGGGTCAGGCGAGGAAATGGAAGGAGGCTCCCATTGGTGCCCCCCAGTGGCTCCTTCCATTTTCCTGAGCCTAACTGCATGTCAGGAGAGGGGCAGGACGCTGGACCTGGTTTCCAGCAACGGGGTCTTTCCCGGTCAGTCGCACGATCATGGTTTTTCTTATTTTCACCTATGTACTTCTGAAGGACGCTGAGCCTGTTTCTCAGCAAAGATGTATCAATGGGACGCTGGACCCGGTTTCCAGCAGGTGCCGCTCCCCACCAATAGACGGAGCAGCCCGACAGAAACGCCCTCAATTCTGACAGTTCTCTTACCACCACCGGGATAGAGGGCTTACACAAGGGTTAAAAAAAAAAAAAAAAAAAAAAAAAAAAAAGAGCATTGTAGTTGTTTGTTGCAGTAAACCTTACGGTACAAAGTACTACACAGGGGACACCAGGCGGGAGTCACAAAAATGAGTTATAATTGCACTATGGGCCAAGCAAGATACAGTTTTGAATTCCAGTTCTGGGCAATGTATACCGGTGGGGCGGGTAGGAGTGAATGCTCATATCATCACTCCTATCTGTCTCCGCTGGGCTTTCCAAAAAAA